TTTTAAAATATAAAACATTTTGAAAAAAATAAAAGCTTATAATTATGAATATTTTAATATTATCTTTCATTATTTTATTCCTTAAATAAATTTTATTATCTCTCGGTAAAGTTACCTAAATGCTACAGCAACAAATTAAAATTACTCAGATACTGTACTTTAAAAAATATTTATTCAAGTACTACATATCAAAAAATTGACATATTTCAAACCAAATTTTTAAAAAATTATGCTACACAACTAGGCTTGTGCCAAGCCAATTTGGATGTAAGATGAGTTTTTTTTTTTTTTTTTAATGAGCATAGGGTGGCAGGGACTGACATCCTAGCACGCCATCTCCCCTTTCCTTAAGTCATTGACGTCTTTTCTCATTTTCTCCCACCCAATCTTATTTCATTCTAGTCAATAAACTTCTGTCTAAATACAATGTAATATGCATATATATATATATATATATATAAATGTTATGTATGTATTTACACATACATATGGGATGTAAAAATAACTAATACATGATTAATATATATTTTATAAATAAATATTAAAAATATATTATTTTTTATACATTAACATTTTACTCCTTAAAAATAATTTATATAATATATTAATTATATATTACGATCAAATTCCCTCTAAAACTATTAAAAATAATAATAAATATTAAATATATAAAACATGTATTATATAAAAATTATTAAAATAAAATATTTAAACTTATTTTCAATTATTATTTTTATTTAAAAATAAGGAAAAATTAATTTTCAGGTCTTTCTAATTTTTATCAATTTTAAATTAGATTCTTATGATTTATTTTATTTTAATCAAATATTTATAATTTAATCAATTAAATATTTTAATCTTTAGGATTAAAATCTTTGAATTTTTGTAAGAAAATAAAATTACGAACTTCTATATTTGTATTAAAAAATTAAATAGCTTTAGATAATTTTTATAATAAAAAATTTATATAATTAGGTCATTCTTTTAAATAAATTTTTATATAAAAATTATCATAAAACTTTAAAAATTGTATAAAATCAATTTTTCATTTTACTTTTGACTAAAAGTATTAAATCAAATTTTCTATAAATTTTTTAAGTGTTTTTGTTTAAAAAATTTAATCATTTATTAATAATTTTAACACTCAAGGACTAAGATATTTAATTAATCAAACTATAAATACTTTATTAAAATAAAATAAAATAAAATACAGAAACCAAATTTAAAAGCAACAAAAACTAAAATGATCTACATATTGATTTTTCTAATAATAATAAATGAGTATATAATACATATTTAATAATAAAAATGAAAATAAAAATATATATTATATTTTATTACTTAAAAATATATATACTAATAAATACATGAATATTAATTTGTTATACATACACACATTTATTTATAATAATATATTATTATATATTATTATAGAAGTGGGTAGGGAACCTCATAAATGAGAAAAGTAGGGGGAGAGATTATTTTCTCTTGAAGGAAAAGGTGGGTAGTGGCGATGCCAGGACTCTTGAATTAAAAAGTACAATATTTTTTAAGTTAATAATTTAAAAATAATTAAAAAAATTTTGAGCCCAAAATTTTTAAGATTAACTCAAAAGGTGTTTTTTTTTTTTTTTTTGAATTCAAGGGATGCATTTGCCCCCATTGGCTTCAATATAGTCACCCATGATGATGAGAGTGGAACAATAGGGTAACTTGGCTTGAAGTAAAGTGAGTCATGTGTTAGAATATTTTGAAAAATCGGTTTGGTTGATGTCAATTTTTAAATTTATAGTATTTGAGTAAATATTTTATAAAGTATAGCATCTGAGTAATTTTTATTTTTTTTGTGGTATTTGGGTAAATTTGCCTTCTTTCTCTTATTAATGAAAGGTATTTTTAAAAGTTTATAGAAAATTTAATATTATAAACCTTATTTAATGAATATCATTTTTATGCGCAGTTTTTGTCAAAATATACCTTATAATCTAGCACTTTATCTGTTCTAATTTATGGGCCACTTTTAGATAAATTTATAATTATTAATAAAATTTATTAAATACACCTTACAACCTTAATTTTTTTAAAATAAAAAAATATAATTTTTTTAAAAATGCCTTACAACCTTACAACCTTCATTTAATACTTTATTTTTAAATAAATATTGAAGAGAGATAGAAAGAGAATGAAAATTAGGTCCAAAACATTGATTTAATAATATAAGTTTTCAAAAAAATTTAAAAAAATAAGTTCTAAATGTAATTAGAACATTATATATAATTTTAGAAATCTTTATACATAAGGCATTTAAGTTTTATATGCAGTCCTCAGTTTGTAGTTGGTGGAGAAGTAGAGGATCCTCATTTGGTGCTCATCAAACGAGCTCATCTACTCCTAACCCTTCATTTTAATATGAAATAATCTATGCATTTCATTTTAAATTGATTTTTAAATTTTTTAATATTTTCTTTTTTATAAATATTAATTTTTTTAGTTTTATTTTTCTTTTAACTAATTCCTACCTCTTCAACTCAATTAAAAATCTACCAATTTGACAAATTTAACCGATTGCATATAGTCTAAATTTATTAATAAGTTGACATGACTTTATAAACTAGAAACATACAAATAATAAATTTGAAGAGTTAACTCATGAGTTCAATCGAATTTCATCTAATTCGAGTTTGCGAGCTAGTTAACATGATTTTTTAAGTTGAAAATGTAAAAATGGTAAAGTTAAAGAATCAACTAGAGAGTTTGACAACGATAACCGAAAAAAGTGTATATATATATATATATATGTATATGTATCCTATATATGAATGAAGCACTAAATATAATAATTAATCTTTTGCACTTGGAATATATAACGGCTAATTTTAGCCATCATCATCGTCATTCCTTTTAATTTATCTTCTTCAATTATAACTCCCATCATTACATCCAATGCACCATTTTCACTCCCTGATCCTTAAAAATTAATTGGTATTATAATTTCTATCTTCACATAATATATTTACTTTAGTCCCTCTGATCAAAAATATAATTTTTTTTAAAAAAATTGAATATTTAAAAATATACAATATTTTTAATTTTTTAAAATATAATCGTTATTTTTTTAAAAAAATATCTTTATTAATGAACAACTTCATATTTATTATAAATATAATAGAGATAAATATAAAAAGATAGAATTAATTTGATAATAGGCAATTACTGAAGAGTAAGATTTAATTAAAAATATTTTATATTTTTAAATAAAGAGAGTATTACATTAAATTAAAACAATCATTACTATTATTTTATATTTTTAAATAAAAGAGAGTCTTACATTAAATTAAGGCAGTCATCACCGTCTTTGTAGATGATATTATAGTTTTTTTTTTTTTTTTTTGGTTTAAACCCCTTTTCAGCTGATAAGTGTCAGAGCATCTAGTGCATTGTGTTCGATATAATATAATAATATTTAAATTGCTTAGGTGGCTTGACCATTTCTAATATATTTTCATCGAACCTATGATCTCTGTTTTACAATAATGTTAAACAGCCATCAGAAAATGTTAGTTTTTCCTCATCATCATCATATTGGAATATATTATATCATATAATTTTTTTTGAAATCTTTTACAACAAAATTGACATAAAAAGAACTATGCATTTTATTCTATTAAAAAACTCAATATACATAAATGAATAAAAATAGGCAGATATTAGATTATTTAAATCATCTGAAGATGGAATTGGTTAATTCCTTTAAAGTTTTCTTTAAAAGAAAGATAGAAGATTTTATATTTTATAAAAAAATAATAAAATATAACAAAATATTAAAAAAAAGAAGAAGCAAACTTTACAAAAATTCACAAATTCCAACAAGATTTAAATCCAATATTCGATATATGTTTCATATTTTTGAATATATCTGCGTATTGTGTGTGTCTATATATATATATATATATATATAATGACAGCAGTGATCTTCTCAAAATTTTTTTGTGGCTGAAATGAACTTCTATAGAGAAAAATAAATACAGAACCTAAAATAACTAACCAACTAGCTACCTAACTCCTTTACCGAGAAATTTTAGCCCTTCAATTTAACATCAAATAATCTCTGCCTTTCATTTTAAATTTACTTTTAATTTTTTTAATATTGTCTTATTAAAATAAAAATTAATAAAAAGTATAAAAAATTAATATTACATACAGATTATTCAAAATACATCTCAGTCATCCAAAATAAAATTTGCAAAATTTTTAATATTAAATTTGACCTTCTAGATTAAACCTATATTATTTAGAGTACATTTAAATAATTAATTTATAAAAATAATAAAAAATTAATATTAAATTTGATTGTCCAAACTAAATCTGTACTGTCTTGATTGGTGATTAACAAATTTATTAAAAAATTAATAATTTTTATAAATTCTTATTTTTTGACATATAAATTCTTATTTTGATGAATAAAAAATTGAGTCTAGATGGTTCAGATTTTATAGGTTAATGAGAATCATGGTGTTTTATTCCCTTAATGAGCATCTAGATATACTCTACATAATTCATATTTAATATTAACATTTTTCATAATTTTTATTTTAATATAGATAATATTAAAAATTTAAAAAATAATTTAAAATGAAAGGTAGGAATTATTTCATGCTAAAATGAAGGACTGGGATAAGCTCATCCATTGATGTGCTCTTGGTGCTCATCAAATGAGGATCCTCCCAAGCACCAAGCACAACATCGACCCTTACCTTTGATTGAGGGAAAAGAAAATTATTATTATTATTATTATTATTATTATTATTATTATTATTTTGGCCAACAAAGGAAAACGAAAAAAAATATGGTAATGTTTTGCTTCATCATCTGAAAAAGAGTAGTCTCTGATAAATCATCCGACAAGAAAATGAGAGAAAAAAATGTGTGTTAAGTTGGGGTGTGTGTGAGTGAGAGTATGCTCCTGCTGCTCCATCTAAAAGCAATTAGGAATATTCGAATTATTGAATCAGAAATTAATTAAATTAAATTAATAAAGGCAGTTTAGACGTAATCAAAATTATCCACAAAAAATTCATGAATTTTTGCACCCTTCTTATATTCATCAAGACTGATCAAAATGCTGTGATCGAAGACTTTACACATGAACTAAATGTAAACGAAGTTGTAGAAGGATTAAAACGAACAGGAATTGAAAAATAAATAAATACATACAAATAAATTAAAATCTAGACACAATTTGTTAAAATGACGGACGAGAGCATTCACCCCAATCTGATAATTGAAATGAATCCAAAGGATTGTGCGGCACCCCATGAAGTAGTGATTTGTTGCGATCCGCCGCTAGCTGCTGCCGTTCACCGCCGCTCTCCGGTGGCTTCTCCGCCGCTTCCTCCTCCTTCTCCAACGGCAACCTACTATAAGCTGCATTGCCAAACGAAGCTGCCATGATAATGACCGGTCCGGCAGCGAGCAACGGCGCCACCACACTGCCTCCGACCACCTGCCCTTGACCTCCGGCCAAATATATCTTCAATCCAGAGGCTGCAGGTGGAGCCGGCGGCGGGAGGAACGAGCCTGAAATAGATAAAATCTCGAATCTCCCGTGCAAAGTGACCACCGCTTCGGCCGAATCTGGCTGCCGGAGATTGACGTTATTGACGGTGCCGCTTCCATTTAGGATACAAACCCCACGCAGTCTCCTCTTCGCGAAGGTGGTAAGGCTGTCGATGATATCAGAGCCGTCGGCGATCTCAACAACATGAGATCGGAGAGCGTTAGCACTATCCCGAGTTACTACGACCGGAGGCTTCGGCTTGTTCTTTGACCCGGCTGGTCTACCTCGAGGTCTTCTACCTATCTCACTTCCCTCCACCGCACCGGCCTTAGCACCGCCAGTAGCGGCGACAGCAGTGTTTTTATCGCTTTGTTGCTTCTGGCGCCGGCCATCTACGCTGCCGCCATTCCTGGTTTGCTCATGATCTTGAAGGTTATCACTCTGGTGATTATGAAGATGAAGATGAAGGTCTCTACTAAGAAAGGAAGGTAATATTGGTTCCATTTTTGTACTGTGAAGCTTATAAGATCCTCAGAATTCAAAACTAGAGAGCTAACCCTAGATTGTTTCCTCTTGAAAATGTGCACAAAAAGCGAGGAAGCTAAGCAAGATACGCCATCGCACCATAGATTCGCCAGCAGAAGGAGATAAAGAACAAGGTGAAGAAATTTAATGAATCAACTGAAATTTGAGAGGAAAAAAAGCTATTAATAATATGTCTGATCCATGGATCCTTTCGTGATGGATATGGAATTGAAGGTTTTAGGTTTGCTTCAGAATGGAATGGAAGTGAGAGAAGTTGTGAGGGAGGAAAGTGAGAAAGAAGGCGAGGATGAGACGAGACGAGACGAGACGGTTGGGTTGCTGTGTTAGGATAATTTCAGCTTTTTTCTTTCCCTTTATTTTCACGTTCAAAGATTCTGAATTTAATTTAATATTTTTAAAATATAATTAATATATTAATGTAATGAAAGAAATATTTGTCATTCATGTGTCTCTACTTTCTTTACCTTTTTTTTTTCCAGCAATATTCATATTTATCCAATTAGAATGGTAAGTGACTGAAGTTCATTTATTCTATGAGTATCTTAATTATTACTATTAAATTTTATGAATATTTTAAAATTATTAAAATATATTTTCTTCTCAGAATTTAAAAAATTCTCAAGTTTAAACCACTTCTTATTCTTTTAAAAAATTTGATATTTGATATTTTATAAATATTATATAACAAAATCTCTTACAATTATTCAATTAAATCAAATAGTTATGATCATATTATGGAAGACACTCATTGAATGAGTAGAATTCACTAGATTTAAATTCATAACTCTACTTATTGTTATCATACGTATCTAGTCCTATTTTGAGGGTCTTAAAATTATTTATGCCTTGGCACCCTTATCTAAGAGCTTAGCTTTATTAATATCATTGTATCTTGATTATATGATCATATTTTAATTTTTTTATAAGATTTTCTCTCTTTGACACCAATTTGTCTTCTATGATTGAGGTGTGATTCAATTTTTTGTCTTCATACTTGGAGCATTGTCAACTGGAACATGAATTTAGCAATTCTAACCTTTATGTCAATATTTACTTTTGACAATTATCTTCTAATATTTCATAAATGCAACATTCTATAAACTTGGTCCATATATGAGGATCTAAAAAATATATAGGAAACACATTTATATATTTTCATTTCTAGTTATTTATTATTTTCCTTTCACTCTAGGATAAAAAGTCATGGTATATAAGTCCTCTAAACCCATTTGTTTCCTATATAGAAACACCACTTTATTTCAACTTGAAACAAAAAAGAGGAAAAAGTATATTATTCACAGCATCTATTCCCAACTTTCTTTAAATATATGCTTCATAATTAAATTGTGGTGAGTTTAAAAAAAATTATTGAAAAAAATTATATCATTCCACAATAACCATATATGTAGTCTACGGACCATGCATGGGGTAAACCTTGAAGCTTAAAGCAAGGCGTCAAACTTCTTCTTTTTTTTTTTTTTTTTCTTTTATTCGAACCAATGAACTTCCGACCAAAAAAAAAAACTTGGAACCAATAAACAAAGGACAGGGGATTGTTATATTCTTATCTTTATCTAATTTGGATAGGTACGTTTGCAAAATCAATGCCATCATTTAAGTGAGAGGGAGTGGGCCCCACGTGAACGCCTCTTAGCACGCTGTCATTACCGAGATCAATCCATTTCCATCCCATCCGTCCGATTCCTGGGACCTAACCCTAACCCAACACTGTGCATGGCAAATTGGCAATATCCATTCATCTCAAGAAAAGTGAATAATAATACAGGAAGTTTCAGGAACACACAGACCTGATTCTCTGATGCCCATAATTAATAATTTCGTAAGGATTTTTTTTCTCCGACGATAAGGATTAAGATATTTGTGTGTGTATTTTTGGTTGCTTACATGTATATATATTTTAATATGACTATCTATTTGTACCAAATTAAATGTCCAAATATAAACATAAACTTAATCGTAAATAGTTCTTCTTAGAACACTTTCACTATTTATATGGATTCGAACATAAAATTTCATATTTAAATGGTTATAATCTTTTTAATTAGAACCAATATTTGTTAGTTGTGCACATAATTTTTTTTTTAGTTTATATGAATGTGTGTGTGTGTGTGAAGAAAAGGCAAGGTGTTTAAGGATAATAACGCTGTTGCAGTCAATGTGATTTTTTTTATTAATTACCTAGTTCACTGTTACAAAAAAGTGTATAATGACGCTCTATAATTGATGTTTATTTGAAAAAAATGACAAATAAAAAAGGTGGAGAATACTTAATGGTTTTTACGAAACAAGCGTTAAATATTTAGGCAAATACTTGACGGTTATTTAAAGATAACCGTCAAGTACATATATTTAACGTTTTTTATAAATAACCATAATATAAAGCTAAAATTTACACGTCGGTCTTCCATAAACAAACGTCAAATTAATAGTAGAAAAAAAATTAAATTTTTTCACATACTTGACGCTTGTTTTGAAATAACCGTCAAGTTTGTCTGCCATATACTTGACGGTTCTTTTAAAAGAAGCGTCAAATATGTAATACTTGACAGTTATTTCATAATAACCGTTAAGTATTGTCATTTAAATTCGCTCCAGATTTCTTTTTCACTCTCCATTTCTGCAGATCTTTCGTATTCAGAAACAAACCCAGAGCCATCGAAACCCATATTTCGTCAATCTAACTGCCAAAAAATACATTTTCGGTCTCGATTCTTGAGGGGTTTTTGATTCTCGACCTCCGTAAGTCTCGTGGGCACTCGTTCATTTGGATTTTCGGTCTCTACCACTCTGCAACACACTCTCATCTCTATTTTTCTGCACAGTTGGCATTCCCTGTTCTTGTTGAGGTAGGTTCTTTCTTTTCCAGTCATTAATCTTCATTTTGAATGTATGGGTTGTTGATTTTGATTTTCATACACAATAAATAGTTTCTGTGTTACTTATTTTGATTTGCATTGTTGTTCTTTTTAGTGAGTGTTTAAAGTTTTGAGTTTTTGGGTGTTTAATTATTGAATTAATGGATCATCCAATTATTTTGCTGATATGAGAAGATTTATTAAGGATATGAAAATATTATACCACCTAATTACCTTGTTTTTAAATTTTGAGTATTTGTTCTGGAATTGAATGATTAATTTAAATTTATATTCCTTGAGTTGTCAATTTTTACATTATTAGTTTTTTAATTAATTAAGAATTGGCTTATGAAAAAATATTTTTGAGATTTTAAATTGATATTTATATAGTAATGATGTGGTTTAATATGATTTTAATTAAAATTGGGTTTCTTATTAATGTTGTTATTATTGTTGTTGGATCATATATAGTCTCATTATAGATAACTTGATTTTTCTAAAGGCATAAAGACCTAGTAATACTCATTTTAAGCTGTTATATATACTATTAATTTTTTTAAATTATTCTTGAATATAACTTTATGTGATTGTTGTTGTGGATGCTATTGTTGTTGTCATTTAGATTAATAAAGAGAGGGGATAAAGCTCGGGAAACTCTCTTTTTCAAGTTGTTATGCTGTCGAAATTATTTCAATGGCTAGCATTAAAATATAATTATTAGTTTTAAATAAGATTAAAGAGGGAATGTGCAAACATGTGGTTAGTGACTTATTGACTGATTGATCTTTATATCTAATTCTCCCACTATCTAGGAGTAGTCAAAGTCACTAATCATATTTCTCTTTTAATCTTTCTAGAATTATGGATAAGGAATGGATGTCTGCCAATCATCTATCCAAGGAATATTGGGATGGGGTGGCAAATTTTGTTAAGCTTGCAGTTAAGCATGCGGAGGATCTTACTAGGATTGTTTGCCCATGTTTAAAGTGCGGTCTTGTGAAGCGGGTTAGTCTAGATACTTGTGAAGAACACTTAGTGATTAATGGGATGGATCAAAGTTACAAGTGTTGGACAATGCATGGAGAGACAAGAGATGATATTGGTTGCAGCCAGAAGCATAGTGAAAGCTGTGCATCATCTCCTGATGATTTTGACACATGCACACTTGAGGAAGATTGTCTTGAACAGATGGCCAAAGCAGTTGAAGAGGACCTCGAGGATTGTCCGAAAATGTTTGAGAAGTTGAAAAGTGATGGGGAGACAACGTTATATGCTGGTTGTAGTGCATCAAAGTTGTCAGCAGTGTTAAAATTGTACCACATGAAGGCAAAACATGGATGGAGTGATGCGAGCTTTACTGAGTTGCTTGGGTATTTAAAAGTAGAATTACTTCCTAAGGAAAATGAGCTTCCTTGTTGAACATATGATGCAAAACAAGTATTGCGATCAATTGGCATGAGTTATGAAAAGATACACTCGTGCCTTAATGATTGCTTTTTATTTCGGAATGAATATGCGTCGTTAACCGAGTGTCCGAAGTGTAATGCCTCACGCTACAAGCAGAACGGATCAAGTCCCACAAAGGCACTATGGTATTTTCCAATCGTGCCTAGATTTAGACGCATGTATAGCAATGCAGAAATTGTGAAAAGCTTAACATGGCATGCAGATGAAAGGATAAAAGATGGCATGGTTCATCATCCTGCTGATTCTCCACAATAGAGAAAGATTGATTATGAGTACCCTGAATTTGGGGAAGAGAGTAGGAATCTATGCCTTGTATTGTCTACCGACGGGATAGATCCTCATAAGATTCAAAGTAGTAGCCACAGCACTTGGTTAGTCATTTTGGTGATTTATAACCTTCCTCCATGGCTTTGCATGAAGCACAAGTATATGATGTTGTCCATGCTAATTGTGGGATCCAAGTAACCTGGGAATGACATAGACATATATTTGGCTCCTCTAATTGATGACTTGAAGATCATGTGGGAGTCAGGTATAGAGGTATATGATGGGTATAAAGAAAAAGATTTAATTTAAGAGCTATGCTCTTCGGTACAATCAATGACTTTCCTGCTTATGGTAATCTGTTAGGGTATAGCATTAAAGGGCAACTTGGATGCCCTATTTGTGAAGAGGAAACACATTCTATGAGGCTTCAACATGGGATGAAGAATGTTTACCTCGGGCATTGTAGGTTTTTACACCAAGAACATCATTATCGGCGGTTAAGAAAAGCGTTCAATGGAAATCCAGAAGAAGGTAAGACACCTTTACCGTTAACTGGTGATGAGTTGTTTGAGAAGATTAAGGATTTGGATATTGAATTTGGCAAACCATTTGCAAGGCACCTTGGGACAACCGGATGGAAGAAGAGATCTATTTTCTTTGAACTCCCTTATTGGACCACCTTAGATGTTCGGCATTTTCTTGATGTCATGCATATTGAGAAAAATGTCTGT